TGTAAACATGTATCTTACCCAAGGAGAGAAGAGCTTCCCAGCAAGGTTTAGCCTTCCCACCACTTCCCACAGCTCACTCCAGCATCTCAGTTTGTGTATTTTCCAAGTAGATTTCCTTTTTCAACTGCAGCAAGCAAGCTCCTTATGCCCATTTTCCCAAAATACTAAAAAGAGCAAGTTTTTATTCATTGTTTATTTTGCCAAGTTATCATTTTCAGTTGCTACAAAAACATGATTTCAGTCTTGTATAGTGCACAATGATTCATCTTGTAATGCTGATGGAATTATGAAAAGAATTAAAATAAAATCTTTTAAAACAAATGTGCATAGCGATTTAAGATCAGGTAAAAACTATTTGGTGGGCGGAGGGGGGGAGGGGGGTGGGGAGAGGGTTGGGTTGGTTTTTATTAAACATTAGGAATACCAAAATATAGGGAGTGATATTATTTAGTGTCAGTAGCACTTATGATATAGAAAAATAGAAATGTTTTCTAATCACTTATTCTTTCTTCTGGTTATATGTTACTGTGAATAACTTGTCATGCTGAAGATACTCTTGTTTTTTTTGGTTTTTTTTCTTAAAGGGGAACTTTCACGTTCCTGGAATTTGCATGACTGAATAAAACACGGTTTGTGTTAACCGTTTTTCATTGTTCTTTCAAAGTGATATTAAAGATTTAGCAAATTACATCAAAATCCATTTCAGGTAGGGCAATGCCAGTGCAAACCAAGGGGACATAAAGAAATATTTTTTCGCTTCTCCTCTTCCCTGTATGTTTTTTCTAAGCTGCCTTCCAGGTGCAAAGAAAACAAGTTCTAACAATGATTCAAGGTGCTCATTTGCAGGATAAAGAGATGTGTAATTATACATTTAATTTTATTTTTCACATGCTTAAAATACATATTTGTTAAACATAAGGATACAAAAACCAGGGAAATTACAGTTTCCTTTTAAATTTCTGTTTAATGTAGACAATTCTGAAGATTTTAAAGACATCTTTAAAATAATTGGATATAATGCACTTAGGCCTTAATTTAATATATTTGCATAAGCTTTTCAAATGATTTCATATTTTTGATAAACTTTTAGAATGGTTTGCTATTTTGAAAAACATTTTAATATATAGATTTTTTTATCCAAATATTATATTTTTTAAGGTTTTATCAAAATATATTTTTAATGTTTATCCAAACACATTAAACCATTTGAAAAATAATTTGCAACCCATAGAGTGTATGATTGAAGGAATTTCGGTCAACGATATTTTAAATAATATAACGAGCATATTAAATTGTTTTTTTTTTAAATTAATATTTGTCTGTTTTTCTTTCATGTGAAACAGAAACAAGATATTCTTAAACAAGTAAGTGTAATATTTTTTACTGTTTATTCATGAGTATTCAGTTAAAATCTAATTCAGGACTTTAGTAATCATTATATTATAGCAGGATTCCTGATGGTATTATTTAAGAGTTTATCCCCGAAGACCTCCTTCTTCAAATCTTTTCCATAGTGATCCTATTTGTCAATAAATATCTCTTACTATTTCCAATTCAGACATTAAAGCTCTAACCAAACCCAATTTATACTTTTGAACACATATGGTCTGAGCATTGTGTAACACGTGCATCTTTATGTATACTTGCTATTTGGCTATCTTCACTGCTTGATAACTTGTCAAAATTGGGACAAGCCATGACAGCATCCCAAATCAGTTTGCTCTCTGCCAATATGTAGAGACTATCAGAAAAGCAGGACTATGACATTGAAAGCAGAAACACCCAACTGACCAGTTTAAAATAAAAGTTACCTCTAAAGGGCTATCTCAGCCATCTTGTACCTATTTTAAATGGACACATTTATTATTATTATTATTATACCCATTTATATAGCGCCAACAGATTCCGTAGCGCTTTACCATATTCTAAGAAGGGGGATTTAACTATAAATAGGACAATTACAAGAAAACTTACTGGATTGATAGGTTGAAGAGGACCCTGCTCAAACAAGCTTACAGTCTATAGGAGATGGGGTATAACACACTTTAGGACAGGAAACATACATTTATATACTGACGCGTATCACTGATCATTTGATGTTTATTAAAACAAAGACTTCTATTGCATATACAATTCATTCTTAACTAAACAACCTACTACAGATTCTATTTTTTCATGCTTTGTAATACACATAGTAACACACATAGTACTCTATTTAGTATATTCTTATGTTGTATGTCATGAAAAAGTCAATACTGACATGGGAGTATTAACCATCAAAGCTTTTGCTGAAAAAATTCCCTTGTTATAATGAGTCTACTGTTATTTGTTATTTTTTTAATACATTCTCTGATGCTGGAAATTTCCGCAACTGTTTGCCAGAAATATTGATGCCTTATGAAAGCTAAATAATTCAATACATAAATAAAAAAAAACACATAATATACATATAAATAAATTATAAACCGATAGAAAAAAATTATAATGAACTAATTTTGACTGCCAGAAAGTCTATGACTTCACATAAAATTACTTTTGTCCTAGATTTTACTGGTTCATTAGCTCTCATGGATATCCTTTGTGTTTATTATATATTTCAATACACTACTATGTGCTTATTACCACATGTCTTATTTACACACAACATTTAATATGTGGGCTATTGTTGTCTTGAATTCTTTTCTTCCATGTAGGCAATTGACTTTGAAGGTTTCCAGTTATTTATGAAAACATTTCTAGAGGCTGAGTTACCAGATGATTTCTGCAGACGGTTATTTATGTCATTCAGTAACCGATTCCATAATCCAAGCCCATCACTCCAGAGCAAAACTCAACTTCTTTCAGGAGGTATGTCATATAAAAGTGTAAATAGACCGTAGGAAATGTACCTACCTATATCACTTTAAGTCATACCACTTTAAGTCATACAAGGATTTACTTAAATGAATATGAGGAACAGAACATACAAACAGGTTTGTTTAGACATTCATTATCTGAACTTTATATCTTGGTTAAAGCTTTATATTTTGAACTTTATACAATATTTTGTGGTTTAATATTTCCAATAACTTTGTCTATTCTCCAGAATCGTATAAAAGTATTAAATAAAACCCAGCTTCTCTCTGGAGGCAGATATTACGAAAAATTTTGGTGCTGGAAACAATCATTCTTTTGTATTGTAACTATTGTTTGCATACGGTATATACATTGAATACTGACAATTGCTATGATCTTGATCATTGTTGTTATCATCTGGACATCTAATGTTTTAGCATTCTTTAGCATTTATATTTTTTTATTGCACAATCAGTTTTTGAATCAGAAATTCTTATACCATGCCTTAATAAATTATATCCACAACTATGCTATAAAACTATGTGATTTCTTACAAATACTTTATTATCTTGTCTTTCTGCAATACTTTAAGACCATAATAAACATTCAGCTATCTCATAGATAATATCTTTCCCATTTTATTGGATTAGGTTTTTACCAATACCTGTTAAAAAAAATCTATCAGTTAGATCCCTGATGTTTTAAGATACTGTGGAGTATAATATCAAACTATGCAGACTAGTCTTGTGCACAGAGAACATTTTCAGTTATTCCAAATGCATTCAGATGAAAGTAAATTTCATTTAATTCATTAGTCAATTCTTTATGGATTAAAGTCTTCAAATATTTTTGGTTATTTCGATATTTCAGATATTTCTTTTTGGATGCAATCTATGACATGTCTTTCAGTGGTTTAGAAAGTGTATGAGTCTCTAATTTGGTACCCCTGTGTGGGATTTCAGATACTTAATCATACCAAATTAGGGAGGGAGCTGTGTTTAATTACTAGCTCTCTGTTTTAATATCCTTAAATATGGCAATCCCACATAAGGATTCCAAGATATGGACCTAACTAGTAAATATCTGAAAGATCAAGATAAGAAAAATACTTTTCTTAATTTTGATCTTTTAGCTGTTTAGTACATAACTCTCTAAATAAAAATGAAACCCTTATGTAGAATTGCCAAATTTAATGGTACCAAATTAGGGAAATGTCTAGTAGATAGCTCCCTGTTTGGATTGATTAATCATGACTAGAGTTGAGCAGACACCTGGATGTTCGGGTCTGGCGGGTTTCGGCCGCACTTTAAAAAAAGGTCCGGGTTCGGGCTCGAACTTGACCCCGAACTTGACCTCGAACCCGAACCCCATTGAAGTCACAAAAATGCCTCTAAAAAACTCCTGGAAAGAGCTAGGGACCTGCAAAAGCAAGTAAAATGGGGGTAAGAGTAGGACAAGTGCCCTGCAAACAAATGTGGATAGGGAAATCACTTAAAATAACATAAAAAATTAAAATACAGCTGAGCCATAAAATAGCACTAGATGGAATCTTTGATTTTAGCTTTGGAAGAACATAAATCAAAATCTAAAGCATGGCTATCAGGAGGATCAACAGAATTATCCATTTGAGAGAGGGTTGGAGTGCAGGGTATTCTTTTTCATTGTTCAAACTGAGCTCAACTCCTGATGCATGGAGAAAAGGCCTTCACAAACCTCTGCTGTTGTGTACATAGTTTATACTAAGTGACCCATAGGTTGAGGAGGCAGTGACCAGTGGTGTAGGTGGAAGCGGCGGTGGCAGAGGAGGAGGAAGCCAACATTGTTTTTTATTTATTTTTTTTATTTTAATTGTTGTAGCCCACAAAATATTGGGACATACAAAAATGAAACATTCGCGGCCTGCGGTGCATTTCTTGCAGTCCTGATGCATGGAGAAATACTCAACTCCTGATGCATGGAGAAAAGGCCTTTACAAGCCTCTGTTAATGTGTACATAGTTTATACTAAGTGACCCATAGGTTGAGGAGGCAGTGACTGTGGCGGTGGAAGAGGAGGATGAGGTATCCAACACTGTTTTTTATTTATTTTATTTTTGTTAATTGTGGTAGCCCACAAAATATTGGGACATATAAAAAAAGAAACAGTTGCGGCCTGCGGTGCATTTCTTGCAGTCCTGATGCATGAAGAAATGCTCAACTCCTGATGCATGGAGAAAAGGCCTTCACAAGCCTCTGCTAATGTGTACCTAGTTTATACTAAGTGACAAACAGGTTGAGGAGGCGGTGACCTGGTGTAGGTGGAAGCAGCGTTGGAGGAGGAGGATGAGGTAGCCAATATCAACTTTCAATGCCAGAGTCTGTGCCTACCATGGTGACCACAGGTATCGGGGAATCAGGGTTCCAATCCGTACAGGGACCCTGAGAAATGGCTACCACATGCAAGGAAGGCAGCAGGTGCGCAAATGACCCACTCCTGACGCAGGAAGGTAGTGACGACAAATAACAATATAGGACTCTTTAGAGGCCCTGTAATTGTAATGAGTCCACTTGAAGTCCTTTAACTCTGATCAATTGGAGGGAAGTCTGGTGCATAGCCACTGACCCGTGCGTGCTACAGCTGAAACTCCACTATCGCCTGCTGCTGCTCGCACAGTCTCACGAGGCCAAGAGCGGGAAGGCCGAAGTTACGCTGCAGCGCGTACAGGCGAGCAGCAGCAGGGTGACAACGCTAAAAGCGCGCACAGTTGCTGCAGTGAATGTCACATCCTGTTCCAAGTTGCTGATCAGTCTGGTGATGGCTTCTGGTATCCAGTACTCTTTTTACTGAAGCTGCATCAGGTTCCTGGTATGTGGCCGCACAAACGCTGGTGCTCAACATCAAGGGGCGTGCGGTTACCCCACACCAGACCCTGCTAATCCATTCCACACTGTGACTCCTAACTTCAACATCAGGCATACTGGGTCCCGGTTGTCCGACCGCTGCCCAGACAGTGTCTGGGTCCTGGTCACCGGACTGCCCACCTGACTGTGAAACTTCGAATGGATTGTTATATCTGGTACGAACCCGAACTTTGCAGTTCGGGTTCTCTCAACTCTATTATGGATCCTTTGATCGCTACATGTATTACTTGGATAACTGGTAATTCTCAAGCTAATACATGCCGATGAGCGTTAGGGACAGCCGCTCCGCCTTTGCACCCTGCTCCCTCTTATGCTGTACTGGTACCTCTGTGCGACCAGCGCCTCTTCCTCCAAACTGCACATGTCACTCGCATGACCTTGATTCCATGTGGGGTGTAGGATCTCATCATCCTCCACATCATCTTCCACCCACTCCTCAACCCTGCCCTCCTTGCCGGTATGCACACTGCAGAAATCCACAGCAGTTGGCACATGTGTTTTTCCAGCATGTAAAGTCTGCAAAGGACATATGGAAATTGTATCCAGGCAACAGTTTTCCCTATAAACTGACCTCTCAGTTTGACTTGTGAGGGTATTGCCCCAGAATTACAATATTGTTGAAGTACCTCTTAATTATTGATCACTGGTTTAAATATAGCAGCTTGTTATCTGGTAGTTTCTAGTGTAGAAAATATCAATCTGTTTTCTATCACATAGATCTGTGTAACAAGTGTTCTAGATGTGAAACAATATTACAAGTGACCGATGTAGTAAATTCGAATCAAAGTTGCGCTTCGATTTGACTCTCAGATATGAAGTGAACACCCCAAATAAACTATTTAGCACCAAAAAACAATTAGAATGTTTACCACTGTGCTGTAAGCGCACTATTAGACGCTTTGATTTGACTCTCAGATATGAAGTGCACCGCAGGCCCCAAAACTGACTATTTAGCAGATTAGCACCCAGAAAATAAGAATGTTTACCACTGCGCTGTAAGCACACTATTAGATGCTTTTATTTGACTCTCATATATGAAGTGCAGTCCGCAAATGTACTATTTAGCAGATTAGCACCCAAAAATTAAAATTTTTACAACTGCGCTGTAAGCACACTATTAGACGCTTCGATTTGACTCTCAGATATGAAGTGCACCCCACTAAAATACTATTTAGCAGGTTAGCACCCAAATAATTTTAAGTTTTAAAACTGCAATGTGACAGCAGTATTTGACGCCTCTATTTGACTCTCAGATATTACGTGCACCCCACTAAAGTACTTTTTAGCACTAAAAAAATTGTAAGTTTTAAAACTGCAATATGACAGCAGTATTTGACGATTCTATTTGACTCTCAGATATGAAGTGCACCTCACTAATGTACTATCCCACTAATGTACTATTTAGCACCAAAAAAAATAGACTTTTTAAAACTCTGATATAACCGCGGTATTTGAAGTTTCTATTTGACTCTCAGATATGAAGTGCACCCCACCGTTACTAATGTACTAGCTTGCAGAATTCTTTCCTAAGCTGTCCCTATCAGCGACAGAATCCTCTCCCTACACTAATAAGACCGCATGTGCGTGCGGCGCTACGTTACTCCAGCTTATATATAGAGGCTGGGTCACATGCTGCACTGACCAATCACAGCCATGCCATTAGTAGGCATGGCTGTGATGGCTTCTAGGGGCACACGAGTCAAATGCTTGTTGATTGGCTGCCCTGCAGCCTTTGAAAACACGCCATTAAATCACCGAACACCGAACTCCAACCCGAACATACAGTGATATGTCCGTGTTTGGGTCCGGGGTCCAAAAAACCTAATGTTCGGTACGAACCCAAACTTTACAGTCCGGGTTCGCTCAACTCTAATCATAACAGCTCAATTGTATGAATTTACAAGAACGAACTAATAAATGAATCGATCAAAAATTTTTGTTTCGTGTGATTTGCTCATTAGTTCTTTCTTCGATTGTGCAATGCAGATGAACAAGACGATTTTCGTCCAAATTGTGATTTTTCGGAAAATAGGTGCCCAAGTTTAATGCAAATCAAATATTTGCTAAGCAAGCAAGAAAATGCAGTATCAGTTTATCTGTCTAGCACAGGCTGAACGCCAAGTTCTTGTGAAATTAGTTGCTTTTGTCAAACTAAAATCCAACAGAATTTATTTTCCACTGAAATTATTGAATCTAATCAGAAAGATCAACAAACAAACAAATTAGTCAGATTTATATTATGTACACAATATGCATATTTAACTAGCCATTGTTTACTTCATGAAAAAATAGATTAATTCACTAATAAACACTCAATTGTAGTGAATTAAAACTGAAATGCAAAATTCAGGTTAAAATAACCACATTGCAACTATAGCTGATTAGAAGTATTTTTCCAAATCAGCTAGTTTTGTATCAATGCAATTCATTCAAATTTGGACAGATCTGGTGATCGTCCAAATTTCATAGCTCAGAATCCCCAAATGGCACAATCATAAAACAAATGACTCGCACATTGGATGTGCATGCTCATTTTGATTCATGTTGGACGGTCAATTCCTGGCATCAGATAAGTCGGGGTGGATGGAATGGCAAAGAAGCTTTTTTTTTGTGGTGAAGACAAATAAGCAGATTAGTTTGCCATGATGGACAAAAGGATTGCCCAATCAGTTGTGTTGTATTTCCTGTCCATTCAAGAGGTTTAATAAAAAGATGACAGATGGTTAGGGGACATCCACAACATTTAGATTTTATTTACAGGTCTAGTAACCACTGACCAATAGACAGAAAAAATAGGAGCAGTAAAACAAGCTATAATTTCAAGCAGGATTCTTGGACGTATAGCTTGCTTACAGCTTGTCAGAGCACTTTAATTGATTGGTTTAAGGGTCAACCTTCATGGTGTGGGGAAACTTTATAAGGATTTCCCCACCACGCAAGCTCAGTCTGCACCAAGCCCTCGCGGGGTGAAGATATTTTTTTTTTTTCAGTCTGGATTTTTTTCTGTGTGTTATTGTTTTGTTGTTGTTGCAATTGGGTACTTTTTTAATCGTTCAACATGACCTTATTGATTTTAATTTGGCATTTTTGGGGGGCTGAAATGTGATGGAAGAAAAAAGAAGACAGCTAATGGTAAGTACAAATGTTTTATTGTAAAGGTATTTAATGTATTACCCCTCACTTGTATTAGGGTAAAAGGGTTAGTTAGGGCTTATTTTTATTTTTATTGAGGAGGGCAGTGAGTAGGGTCTTGGGTACCTTATTGTTGAGTCGGGGGATATTTTTATTACTAGCCCCCACCTGCCACTAATGGGTGGGGGATGAGGGGAAGGCAGTAGGCCCACCTCTACCTGTCATCACCTGGTAGCTGAGATCCAGCCAAGCTTAGCAGGTTAACCTATTGAATCTTCTGTCAAGGAAAAAGCTCCACTTGAGTTTATTATATAATCTTGGCTATCAGATGTGGCACAAGAGGGGAGCTAAGCAAAATAAGCTATTGAGCATTACACAGGCCCGGTATTAATATGGAATGGCATGGAGCATATAACTAATCCAGCAGTATTAATACAAATGGTCAAAATTTGAAAGGTACAGTAGTAGTCTCACTGTTCAAATGACTGTTCCTTAGACACAATGACAGCTAAAACATGACAATACAAATCTTCTACAAGTCTTTGCCTACAGTTTTGATTTTATATCAACAAACAATGTACTTGCATCAAGAGCTGAAGGCAGATCAATAAGTAACAGCCTTGACCTGTGGCTAAATTTTCTTTTAAAAATCACAAACTGCACATAAAGCAAACTAAATGTCACCGCCATCAATGAAATGGATAGATTATTTGGGGATTTTTCTTTTATAAAACAATTATTTCCTCTAATTTGTCATCTCCAACATGGTCAAACATATACTGTGTCACATGCTTACAAGTCATTCAGTAGAGAGCTTTCCTTAATGCTTTCATACCATAACAACATGTTGTGGTTTTTATCTTTTTATCGATCCAATTAATAACATACACAATTGACCTGACTTTTAATAGCTTAGTTATTGTTTTATATAGCACTCAATGTTATATTTTTTTTGCACTTCTCAAGAAATTTCTGCAGACAAGGTTTTAGTATATAGTAAGATAGGTAAGGACAGAAAAGCTGTTCCGATAGAGTGGAAAGGCAGGAAATGAATGTTGAATTAAATGGAGGGTGACACAGTGGAATTGATTAAATCCTGACTCCCAATCAATCTCGACTAGTATACAAAAGCCCCCAATTAGGCTTAAAACACACAGTGAAAAATAAGGATGCTAGATCCTAAACGTACAAAGAAATAGAATGTGAGAAAGCTGTTGCAATAGAATCTTAGATTATATATATAAAGGGATATCCAGGAAAAGGGCTGCCCCCAATAGAGTACTGGTAACTAAACAGTGAACTGTTGGAATCACGAAAAATAGGGAGATTGGTGAAATAAAACACCAAAATACTACTTCATATGCCACCTGAAAGCATGGATAAAGGTAATAGTTCACATCAAATAATAGTTCATATGATAACAGTCTTTGGAACATAGAATGGTAGTCTCTTGTTGCAAATAT